TCAGAGTGACCTGGAAAGATCAAGTGCATCACTTCCTGGTCCCACTTGTTCCCTGTACTCTGCCCACCCTGGGTGTCTGAGGGTCTGTGCACTTGCTGACAGCTTGGGAAGTTCTTTATCCACACCTTACTTCCTTTGTGTCATTCCCTTCTGTGCTGATGTGTCATCTGCTGAAATAATCCTTCAAAGAGGCTGCCTCTGAAAAGCCACAGTGCCTGCTTGAGAACTGCGGGAAGGAGGAAATAGGGATCTCTGTTGCATGTATCAAGTGTATCAAGTGCTAACTCGTTATGGTACTGTTTGATTAAATTGCAGGCTTTTATACTTTTGGCAAATGACATTTACGTTCTTAAGAAGAAAATGTTGAGCCAGGGAGATGTCTTAGTAGGTAAAGGCGCATGCCACCAAGTCTCTGAGTTTAGTCACCAAAACTCATAGGGTAGAAGCAGAGAACTGCTGTCTGACCTCCACAAGTGTGCCCTGTTTTACACACGCAAATAAGTGTTTTGTTAAAAAAATATAAGTGCACCCGTGTCATGCAGTGCCCGCAGAGGACAGAAGAAGCCGTCGGAGTCGGATCCCCTGGAACTGGAGTTACGGACAGTTGTTAGCTGCCATGTGGGTGCTGGGATTCAAACCCGGGTCTTCTGCAAGAACAACCAGTGTTCTTAACTCCTGAGCCATCTCTCCAGCCCTATGAATAAATGTTTTAAAAAAAGAAACCTGTCACTGGCCTATTTCCATCTTATGTGTTTATCTAAAGGTAACTTATTTTGTTATCTATATCTGTGCCTTTAGAACATAAAGGAAGCATTCCCATGGCAACAGAAACCTTCTTTGTCTAGTTCTTTGCCACATACCTAGAGGGGTGATAACTTAGAAGATAACCAGCTAATGTTAATAGCTGAAAAGAGATACTTGAAAAATAGTTGTCTTTTTATTGGGAAATGATGAAGACTAAGGCCTGTTAAGATGCAATTTCTGTGATTTTTAAGCTATTTCCTTTTTGGGGCTGGAGAGATGTCTCAGTGCTTAAGAGCCCTTGTGCTGAGTTGGGGTCCCAGCAACCCACTTCTGTTGGCTGCCTGTAACTCCAACTCCAGGGGATCTGACGGCCTCTTCTGGCCTCTATAGGCATGTACACATATAGCATACAAACACATACATGAATAAAAAGTACTCCTTGGTAGTAGGGTTTTTTTTTTTTTTTGCCTTTACCTTAATGACATTCTTTTGGATTATTGGAATTAGAGTCATCTTGGGGAAATTAGTGACTCAAAGTTGGTGAATTCTAGGTAACTTTTGTTAGTATTTGCTGCTGAGTAGAAAATCATTTAGATGATTTGCATATGAAAAGACATATCTTGCCATAAGAAAGATTTTTATTAAATGAATCATTCTTTCTTTACACAGACTCCTAATTTTGGCCTGATTCACTTGGGTGTGTATACTGTTTTTCCTAGAAATAGAAAAATCTGTTTTTCACTTGATTAAAAGAAAATAGTTTCATAAACTTGAGTGGACCATGTAAGTAGCATTCTTGTAAGAGTAGCAGAGGAACCACATGGGGAACAGGTACTGCATTTAAATTTCATATGCTGAATGTTTAAGCCTAACCGTCACCCCTGTGCTAGATTACCATTCTTGCTTGTCAAGGCCTCTCAACATGCTTTCAGGTCATTTATGTTCATCTTGGATTTTTTGTTGCTGTTGTTCTAAGATTTATTTTTATGTGTATGAGTGTTCTGTTTGCATGTATGTAAGTGCACCACATGCATAGTGTTCCTAGATGCCAGAAGAGGGCATCGGATCTCCTGGAACTGGAGTTTCAGAAGGTTGTGATACCATGTGGGTCCTCTGCCAGAGCAGTCGGTGCTCCTAACCACTGAGCTGTTTCTTCAGCCCCTCATTTTTTGCTCAGTGGAGATATGGACAGTATTTGATATACTTCTTTGGGAATCCCACTAATCAACATAAACTGCCATGAAGAGGCTAAAATTCTAACTTTAGAACAATTCATGTTAAGAAAAGGGAAACCCCTTCATGTGCATCTAGGTTTGTGTGTGTGTGTGTGTGTGTGTGTGTGTGTGTGGTTATGGGAACAACCTGCAGTTGAGGGGTTTTTCATACCTGCACAGTGAACAGTGAGGCCTTGTTCTTGACCTTTGATCTAGACACAAGATGCACATTGCCAGCCTATTTGTGTCCATTCTTGCTTAACCTTTTCCCATCTGCAACCATGTCAAACTCTCTCCAACCAAAGAGCAAATTTGAATCATTAGGTAAGTGAAAACTGCTTGTCTAAACTGGAAGATAAGAAATGTCAACACATCATCTGCTGTCTGTTCAAGGTTATGAATCTGCATTTGATCTTGTTGCCCATTTTCCTGGCGAGACATGAGCAAATGCCTATTCACTCCAGATAGTGCTCACAACAGAACAAGGAAACAATCCCTACTAAAGTACAGTTAATAAGCAGCCTTCACAGTTTCTACCGTACTCAAGAACCACATGTAATACTATATCCTTATTTCTCTAAAAAATCTTTTTAAGGGCTGGTGAGCTGGCTCTGCAGGTAAAGGCACTTACCACTAAGCCTAACAACCAGAGTTTGATTCCTGGGACCCACATGGTGGAAAGAGAGGACTCCCAAAAGTTATCCTATGACTGCCACATGCATGCTGTGGTATACATGTATACACACCTCCATGCTTACACACATACAAATTAATTAATTTTTTTTTCTTTTGGTCTTTTTGAGACAGGGTCTCCCTGTAGCCCCAGCTGTCCTGGAACTCGCTATGTAGAGCAGGCTGGCCTTGAATTCGCAGAGATCCACCTGCCTTTGCTTCCTGAGTGCTGGGATTAAAGGCATGCGCCACCATGCCTGGCTAATAAATTAATTTTTAAATTAAAAAAATCTTTCCAAATTCAAATTTTAGGGTAAATCTTGTTTCATGAGTGGAAAACCAGTAATTTGTATATTACAAGCATAGTTTTTTCCTATACACCAAAATTAATTCATAATGTATTACATGCATGATGATGTCCACCTTGGCATGTATGTATATGTACAGCACTTGAGGGAATTCTGATAGTCTTTCCTCCCTTTCTTTCATAGCTATAGGGAAGAAAAGTCAAAGCTACTTTGGAGTTGGGCACATAGGTAATAGCAGGTTGTTCTCTTTAGGGACATGCATGTTGTCCAGTTAAAGCACTTGCCCATATCTCATCTTGAGCTGGCGATGTGGAGGTGGAGGTCTCGTATGGAAGGGCTGGGGAGGGGCTGTCTGCAGCCTACATGATGCCATATTTCCAGCAGGGCTCATTCTTCATGACCTCTCTAGGCTGCTGGTAGGAAAACAGCTAAAACCCAGCTCTTACCTCAATTTCTGTGGTGGGAATTTCTCATGCTGTGGCTCTGGCCACATTTTCCTATTGGTCTGTTTCAAACTTTTGTCTCCTACCACTATATCTTCCCTTGAATTACATCTGCTTTAGCAGTGTGGCAGGGGACCAATAACAGACTTATTTTTCCCTCTGAAGATGAGACCCAAGACATAGGAGCTAGACACAGAATCAAAACACCAGATTTCCAACTAATAAAGGCAAGCTGTAGAATATGGTGTGGACCCACGACCAGGTGGGCAGACATGCTTCTCTGCACTCTGATCACCCTTGCCCCTTAACTGGAAGTTAGTGCAAAACCCGTCAACCCTATTTCGTACGCACACACATACATCCACATACATACAGTAACAGGCTGCTATGGGCACAGTGTAGAAGGCACCTAGCCAACTCCATTCGCTTAGATGAGTCATTCTTTGTCACTTTGGGTAAATGAGGGAGCCAAAAGTTGGAAGTGATCCTTTCCCTTTCCTCTTGAGAAGCTGAGGATTTCCTCCCTTGTATGGAAACAGGCAGAGTATAGGATGTTGTCTCCTAATGATTGCTCCTATTGCTTCCTCTTGGAGTGACCAGATGCTGTAAGATGAACTGTGGGAACTCTTCTACAAATGGAGCTGTAAGTGCAAATGATGAATTGTGTGTTGGCAGCCAAAAACAGCAAACAAAGATTTTCTAGGTGCTCACTAACAATTGCTGCCATGAGGGTCCCAAGCTTATTCACCAAGTGGCAGACAATTGGGCATATCCTTGCCTCTCTTGACATCCCTTTTCCCCTCAGGTTCAGGTAGTCATGTGCCCACTCTAGCTGCCTGGAGCTCAGATAGCCCACATGCTCATTCCTTGGCTTCCTGTGCCTAAGAGAACTGACTCCTCCACCTCCTCCTACAGGGAAGATTCATCTTTCACAGGGTTCTCATTTGGAAGAATAGTGTCTTTCCTGATTAAAATTCTAGGGTATTAGTGATGGATAGGGTTTCCTTGGAATGAATATATTAGGCTGTCCTCAAATTTTTGGCAATTCTGTCTTTGCCTTGCAGGTACTGGGATTACAGATGTGTAGGGATGACTTTTACAGTATGGACATAATCTGGACTAATGATTTTACCTAGTTTTGCAGCCAAGAAGTTATAATATAAACAAGCTGACTGAGTGACTGAGCCATCTGTTCCTCTTGTGACCCGGACACCTGACCTTAATTAACACTCTGAACCCCACCTTGCTCTCCACCCAAGATAGTGAGTCAACGTGGGTATGTGTGATTAACGTATCAGAGCACTGTGAAGCAGTGTGTTTTTGAGAAGTCTGAACTGTGTAGTATTCTGGGCCTGGGGGTCATAGGGCAAGATACTCTGATGCAGGTAGATCCTAACTTCTTCGCCAAGTCATGCTGGAGATACTGTTTCAGTAAAGAATGCATGAAGCCTGGCTCAGGAGCACGGTTCTGTGAAATACCTGAAGGAACGTGTTCTCAGAGTTCAGGTCCATTCTTAGCCTTAAAATGTAAGCGTTGGGGTGTTTGTTTATTCAGGCGTAACTAATGTTGCTTAGAAATGCCCTACAGACACACACTCCAATTTCCAGCTGTACTTTATTTTTAAATGCCTTATTTTTCTTAAACCCTTTCAAGATTATTCCTAGAAATTATCAAACATGGCCCTATGATCTGTGCACTGACTCAGGGGAGGTGCTTTTTGGAGAGGTGGTGACCAATAGCAATGTTATGAGTTGCAGCAAAACTTGACTTCCATTCCTGTCTGGGGTTAGAGCCTCTGCAAGAATGGTGAGAGTTGGGGTGAAAGGATGTCCGAAGTGCAGGAAAATAAGTGTTCTTACTCAAAACTTCATATTCTGTACAAAACTGAGTAATAGTATAAAATGGAAATGTGTGTTAAAATTTAGATGTTTTAGTAACAGTGAAATAAAAGCCTACATTTACAAATGAACCTATATATAATCAGTTTGCTAGTTTGCCTTACATAAAATGTCAGTAAAAAGAGAGGGAAGACCAGCAGAGCCCTCCAATACCCTTCAAGGATCCTCTTTACACTATATCCAGGTATGATACTTTCTCTGAGACGTTGACTAGGCCAAGACTGTAGAGAACAGACTTCTCCAGCTCCAAGTAGCTCTCGTATTCCAGCTTCAGTTCAGCATCCATCTGTTCCTTAGTCTTCTGATAGGTTCTCTAGAGGGGGAGAAATAAGCAGGACATTCCATTCCTGTGAATTTCTGGTAGCTTTTAAAAAAATGAAAAGGGACTGCTTTTTGAACAGTTGACACGACTGCTGTCTAGAAAGGGTGTTTTCAGGAGGGTGGAGGGCAGGCGATCAGAAGGGCAGTCTGATATGTTGGAGAGGTGGGAAGTGGGGAAGAACTGGCCCTCCAATGCCTACACTCTTCCTCTAGTCTTCTTCCCATAAGTCCTGCTTCCCTTATGTGGCTAGGAGGTTAGCTGACCACAGGTTGCAGAGCTGCTTTGAAATGCCCCCACTTCCCCAAACCCTCAGACGGCACAGCTTGTAGACCACAGAACGTTTACTACTTTTCCCAGTGTTGGTTCTCCAGTTAGAACAATCCCTGTTTTGAGCCGCACGTGGTGGCACATACCTTTAAACCCAGCACTCAGGAGGCAGAGGCAAGCAAATCTGTAAGTTCAAGGTCAGGCCAGCCTGGCCTACATAGTGAGTTCCAGGCTAGCTGGGGTTACAGGGAGACCCTGTCTCAAAAAGACCAAAATGTGGTTTCAGCTGTCATTACCCAGTAAGAAGTGAGCTCACGCTTAGTGGTTGTAAGAAGTGTGTATGATTTCCTTGGCATCTGCCGGTTGAAGCTTCATCCCTGCTACCTGAAGGCACTCAAAAAGATCTGCTGTTCTGGATGAGAGTGTGGTCCGTGTGGTCCACCCTTGCCTCTGTGATTATTCTAAAAGTGAACACTTCTAGCACTTTCTATGTGCCAGCTGCTAGCTAAGCACTATAAATAAATACTTTAGTTCACATAATGCCCACTACAAGGCTCAGGAGTTCATACAGTGACTGCTTTTATTTCTCTCTTTCTAAAGAGACTTTTCTGATTGATAATGTTTTTCCTGAGTGACCTTTTTCTTATTCCAAACATAATGGAGGAGGTTTTTTAAACCATCCACTTATCCATGATTTACTTTCTGGGAATGCTTGAGAGTGGCAGGTCTGCTTAAAGGAAGGTACTATGTCAGTGGAACCACTGTAGCAAGAAGTTGAAAAGGTTTTAAGATATAATTATTGTCAAATGCAGTTTTTCAAAAAGAACTTCACACCAAATTAATTTTTAGTTTAACTACAATTCTATCTGCTACTGACACTGGTCAGAGTTGTTGCCATGGTACTTAAACGTGTAACAATTTTGGATGGATTGCTGGAGTAGAGTGAGGGGGAAAGATTATCTCCCACCATAGAACTTAAACTACTGTTTAAACACTTGGGAGGCAGAGGCAGGTGAATTCCACATAATGAACTCATCCAACTGTGAATCACTGTATCTATACTAAAAGAATTTGAAATTATAGTAAGTTACAGAAAATTGAATTGAAAACCCCGTTAGGTATTGGGGCCAGTGAGATGGTTCAGTGAGTAAAGGTGCCTGATGACCTGAGTTCAATCCCTGAACCCCCATAATGGTGGAAGAGAGCCAACTCCCACAAGCTGTTCTCTGACTTTCATACAGGCACCATCACGTGACATACTTGCCCCCACTCCAGTAAGTAAATAAAAATGTAACAGAATCTCACTAAGTGTCCAACTGGTACTTCTTACTCATGGTGAGTTAGGAACTCAAATGCCCTATTGATTGTCACATGAACAGGAAAAACTGAAGAGTGCAAGATTCCCATGGGACCCGTGGTACAAGCCCAGCAAACACATGCCACTGGTGTGAAAAGAAAACAGTTTTTGTTTCTGATTTAACTCACAACTTTTTTCTTTGCCAATTCCATCTCTATTTCTCTCTTCTCTGTATCACGGATGATTTTTCGCTGTTGGACATACTCCAGATGCTTGACTTCCCTTTCAAAATAGTAGTTCACACTTGACACCTGTTAGAAACAAAGGCCCATGACAGGGTAGCTGGTCCTTATAAGGCTCTATTAGAACTCCCACTGCTTGTAGTTAGGATTTTCTGCCTCCCTAATCCACTTGATCATAACCTCACGACCACCTTCTAATCATGAGGCAGATGAGCCATGTTGGAATGCTTCTAATGTGATTTGGAGGTGGTGCCTACAGGCCAGAGAAGCTAGCTCCATTTGGGTGCTACTAGTGCTTAGATTTAGTTCCCTCTAACTTGGATGTTTTTACGAAAGGAGTGGATAGGGTTGGAAGGAGAGAGATACTGCAAAAATGATCAGTTTTGTAGTAGAACTTTCCACCTTTTCTTCTCACTTCTGAGTGGAGTAGCAATGCCATCAGCTGAACTTGGTAAACCCAGCCGAAGATCTCTATAGAGATCCTAAAGGGACCGTGAGCAGGGCTGAGTTCCTGGTCCTCTGGAGAACTTAGCATGCAGACATGGGACATTAGCAGGGAAGGCAGCAGAGAGCTTGGGGAAGGCAAGCGGGGAAGGTTTGCTGCCTGCCAGTAACTGGGTGCTGGCGCTTGCAGTAGATTGCAATCTATGTAGTTGCATACACTTACGCTTTTCTGTTCATTGATCTTTTTATGCCTTGTCTGCTAGCATTACTTGAAACACTTGGGTAACAGGTTGAGGGTAGGAAGGGGCAGAGTACTGCCAGTTCATATGCACAGCCAGCAGTAAGCTGAAGTAAAGGTGATGGAAAGATGCATGCATGGTCACCTGAGCCTCCAGGGGTGGACGTCACTGAATTTACAGAGCCAAAATTCGGTTACAGTTTAACACTTTTTTTTTTAAGCGAGTCCCTAAATCAGTTCTCCCATAGTCTGGCCTTCATTTATCTGACTTCCTTCCCATCTCAGGTTTGGTTCATTTTCCTTAGCTTCAAACTAATTCACACAATGAAAATATGTTCTCTTTTTAAAAAATATGTCTTTTATTCTCTTGTAAAGCAAAAATGCTGCCATTAAAAAACACACTTTTAAGATATGCTTCATAGGCAAGATGGCTTAGCAGGTAAGGTGACGGCTGCCAGGCTGGACAACTTGAGTTCAATCCCTGGGACCCACGTAAAAGAGAGAACTGACTTCTGTAAGTTGTCCTCTGACCTCCAAAGCAGGCCATGGCATAAATAAATGAATGTAAAGTTTAAAAAAAAAGACTTGTGGGACTGGAGAGATGGTTCAGCGGTTAAGAGCACTGGCTGCTCTTGCAGAGGACCCGGCTTTGATTCCCAGCACTTACATGGTGGCTAACAACCATCCATAACTCCAGTTCTAAAGGAATGATTCCCAGTACCCACATGGTGGCTAACAATGATCCATAACTCCAGTTCCAAAGGAATCTGATGCCGCCTTTTGGCATCTGCAGGCATTGCATGACATGGGTGTACTTACATACATGCAGGCAATACACTCATACATGTTAAAGAATAAAAAGAAAATCCACTGGGAATCAGCAGATGATATGAATGACAAAAGGCACTCACAACTATCTAGGAAGAGGGCAATTTATTTTATGGAAAAGAACCTAAATTCTAACATGTATTACCTATGTAATTGCAGTTTTATGAAATTTGTGTTAAATGAATAATATATAACATTTTGTTAATGTTATTTTGCATTTGGTCATATGTGGAAATACAAATGTACCAATAGGCAATGACCTGAAAGTTTGGAGATATTTTAAACAACAATTAAGTTTAAAAAAATAATGTATTAAATATATTACTTTAAAAAAAGATTTGCCTCAGTAATATCTAGTGATAAATCTGCAAAGCCCAAAGTTTACTAACCTCATTAAGGGAAGGGCGACTTAATGTCCATGGAATTTCTAATATATGGAGTGTTCCGTGGTAATCAGCTATGGCTATAAACTGCTGCTTAGCTGAAAGATTTAAAGAAAGGGAGGGGGGTTGTGGAATTTCAGGAAAAAAGGTTAAACATGAAGCATGTTTTGTTTTGTGGTTTCCTGAAGGCCCTTCTGTGGCTCTGTGCTCCCAGCACTTCCTCAGAGGTTCATTTCTGCAGTGTATAAACACAGACAAATCATTTTTTCCAGTTGATGAGATGAAAGCTAAAACTCCCAAGTCTTTGTCAGCCTCCCTGCCACCTCCACGCTTGCTTTCCTGGTATCTATATAAGGAGAGGGGCTGATAGCTCGGCTTCTCTGGGTTGGACACTGGCTTGTCTTAAGAGTAGGGACAGCATGTGGGGAGATTCTCGGAGAAAACTTGCGAAGTTTTTTTCACCATAAAATTGCTCTTCGAAGGAGCTGAGGGATTCTGCTGTACAGACGGGTTTCTGAGATATAGCCCAAACCACAGTTTTCCTATGACAAAAACAAGTTACTTACTTGAAGCATAAAAAAAAAAAAAGACCCACAAAATAATAACAAAGCCCCACAAAGTGTTTGAGAATTTTAATTCTCAATGTCTTCATGGAAAATGTTCACTTCTCATTTTCAGAAGGCCTGGTTCAAATTATTGAATCTTGAACCCACAATCCCTATAGGTACAAAGTCAGGATTTTGTACCAAAATTAGGAGAAAATGCTTTGGTCACACATATGGCTAAGCAGAAACCAGACTGATATTTTAGAGAGCCGAGGCTCAAGTGTCTATTGGAGGGTTTGAAGTCCTAGCAAGCCACCCTTGGGCCTGTGGACTTCTGGAAACTAGGAAAACTCCCAGAAAAGACAAATATACTGCATTTTTCACAGAACGTGCCATTTGGGTCAAACAGAAAATTTGGGACAAAGGAATATTTTCCAACAGACATATGCTTGAATTTGTGTGTGTTTTGTTATATTGCTTTTTACTCATACTTAATCCAGAGACTAAAGCTTAAATAGACATATAACCCTGGAGGATGATCTGAGCTCATGAAGAGAATTGCTTTATGTGGCCCACAGGAGAGTCACTGAAGTATATAATATTTAAAAATGTGGCTTACAATGCCAGTTAAGGAAACAAATCATTCTGCCTGGAAAAGAAATGAGAGAAAAGCAAAGATTTAGGATTATCCTGTCTGGCCCGGAGACAACGAGATGGATGCTTTCCATCCTGTGGTTCAAAACCAGCTTTTGCCTGACATACTAAGTCTGAGAAATCACTGCTGTTGAGTCACAACAGTGAGGGAGGTCCAGGGAGCACCCAGAGTTTGGGAGAGACAGAGAAGGGAAGAGTAGAGAAGAGGGGGGAGGGAAAGAAAGGAAAGGAGGTGTTGAGGATGGGTGGGGTGGGAAGAAAAACAGAAACCTGAAGAAAAGCACTGTGGGCTTTCCAGGTGAGTGTTGAAAAGACTGTGCAGCTCATTGGATTAGAATGAACGTACAGGAATAGGACCAGGGTTTGATGGCAGTGATCATGGCGATGCAAATATTTTGTGACTGGGCTGGTTCATGAGTTTTCTCCAGAAGGTCCCAAATATCAATGTATCCATCCTCTCGGCCAACATAGAAAACTCCAGGCCTCGTCAGGGACCAGTGCCCCGAAGTGTACCTTTTGGATGTGCAGCATGTCTTAAGGAGTGGTCCAGTCTGCAAACACATTTTTAAAAGATATGTGGAAAGCTTTTGTTATGATCTGAGGGAAATTCATGGTGATTTTAAGTACAGCTCAGCTGGGCCTGACTGCTTAGCTACAAATTTATTCTGCTAGAAAATCTTAATTCCTTTTGTTGTAGAGTTTTAAATTTTTAAAAAAAATATTTTTATTTTTTATGTGTATGAGTGTTACGCCTGCATGTAGGCAAGTGCACCCGTGTTGTGCAGTGCCCGCAGAGGACAGAAGAGGGTATCGGATCCCCTAGAACTGGAGTTATGGGCAGTTGTGGGTGCTGGGATTCAAACCTGGGTCTTCTGCAAGAACAGTGTTCTTAACC